CAGTCCCCCCGGTGAGTCCCAGTCCCCTGGCGCGTCCCAGTCCCCCTGGCGAGTGCCGCACCCCTGGTGAGCCCCAGTCCCCCAGCGAGTCCCAGGCCCCCGGCGAGTGCCACACCCCTGGTGAGTCCCAGTCCCCCTGGCGCGTCCCAGTCCCCCTGGCGAGTCCCAGGCCCCCGGCGAGTGCTGGCCCCTGGTGAGTGCCAGTCCCCCAGTGAGTCCAAGGCCCCCGGCGAGTGTCAGCCCTCAGGACCACCCTCCTCCCTGAGCTGGGAGAGAACCCAGGCGTCCTGGCTCCCAGCCCCCCACTCCATCTGTCTCTGCTTCAGGTGGTGGTGGAGGTGCCAGCCCGGCAGCGCCGGACCCCAGCGGAGCTGCTAAGAGCCCCCACATATGGTGAGTGTCCCTCCGCTCCCTCGGTCCCCGCGCTGGGTCCCTACCCCCCTCACCCTGTCTGTGCCCCCAGGCTGGCTGCCCCCTGAGCTGCTTGCCCTGTGGCAGCGCTGCGCCATCCTGCAGCCTGTGGACTACGCGGCGCTCTGGGCCGAGGAGGAGAGAAAAGAAGAGCCAATCAGCGAACTGGAGGTACCTGGGGCCCCCTGGCAGCCCCCGCTCTATCCCCTGGACTCCACTGGCCGCCCAGAGCCCGGGAGAGAACCCAGGAGTCCGGCCTCCCAGTCCCCCTCCCTGGCTCTATTCCCTAGCCCCCACTCTCCTCCCAGTGCCTGGGAGAGAACCCAGGAGTCCGGCGTCCCAGGCCCCCTGCTCTAACCACTGGACCCCACTCCCCTTCCCAGGCTGTGAGTGTCCCCCTCTTTTGTAGGTTGCACGTGAGGCCCTAGAGCCCAGCATCCCTGTGATGGTCTCCTCAGGTGTGTTGCTCATGTGGAGGGGGGGGGGCGACATTCTGCAGGGAGGTGGACAGGGGACTTGGCTGGGGGCACCATGCCACAAGGAGGGGACCGAGTGGGCTCGGTGGAAGGGGGGCTGCATTGTAGGGACATGGTCAGGGGCTCAAGGGAAGGAGCTAGAGGGGGTACCGTGCCCCAGGGAGGAGGCTGGGGGGCTTACCTGGGAGTGCAGGGAGGGAGCTGGAGGGGGGCACTGTGCCCCAGGGAGGGGCTCTGGGGCCTTCTCTCCCCTACACCAGCAAGGGCAGTGTGGGTGGCAGTCAGCACTGACCAACCCCTGCTCCTGGCCCCCTGCAGAGATCTCCCTGGAGACCACTGAGGAGGAGGTGCAACGCCCCAGCCTGGTGACCCCCGAGGAGAGAAGGTGAGACCCCAATGGAGGGACAAGGGTATAGCCCCCCAGGACCCCCATTAACCTTCTGCCCTGTCCCCAGGCTGGTGCCGGAGCCCGAGGAGGCCCTGCCAATCGTCCCCGAGCTGCCTGAAGTCAGCCTGGAGCTGCCCCCTGACAGAGACTTGATCACACTGGAGTACATCCGCAGGTGGGCCAGGGCCTGGCACTGGGTGGGGGAGAGGCGGGGGGGGGGGGTCGGACTCCTGGGTTCTACGCTGGCTCTGTCTCCCCTCCAGGCTGGTGGCCGCAGAGCTGGAGCAGGTCGGGGAGACAGATTTCCGGTCCCTGGTGCCCACCACGACCTCACGCAGCATTGCCAGCCGCATCTTCTACCTCTGCCTCGGTGAGTGGGGCCCTGCTGCCCCCTGCCAGCGGGTTGGGATCTAGGGGGTGTGGGGCCCTGCTGCCTCCTACTGACCGGGTGAGCCCCGGTGGGGGTGGGGCCCTGGTGGGTGTGTTGGCAGCAGCCCTAACTCCTCCCCCCTCTCTTGCAGTTCTCTGTGGGCTCCAGTTCCTGCAGCTGGACCAGGCCGAGCCCTACGGGCCGATTCTCCTCAAACGTGGGGCCCGATTCCACTCGGGCTAGGGCCCCTGCCCGGGGGAGAAGAGGCTCCCCAGGCTGAATGGGTCTCTCCCCTCCCCCCCGTTACAAATCTGTTCTAATTAAAGTGTTTTGCCAGCAACCTGCCCCCTGAGTTATTTGGGGGCAGCGGGAGCAGGTGCTTTTTCCTTTCATCTAGTGCTGAGACCCCAAACTCAGACCCCTCCCCGCACCAGCAAAAGGCAGGCCAAGCATCGCCCCAGCCCCCCCTTGGGACTGAGCAGCCCCCTTTCCTTTCTCACGTGCCCCCCTTGCAGGAGGGGGCAGAACTTAGGCTCACCATCTCCATGTCCCCTCTGCCCCTTGGTAACAGGGGATGAGTCTTTTGCCCCCCTCCCCCCCCCACCTCCTTTCCCCCAACCTGGAGGTTCATTCCCCCTCCCCCAATCCCAAAGAGACCCGCTGTCTCAGGCAAATGTTATTTTATTCTAAGGTATAGAATATAGATTTTTCTCTCATCAAAAAACAACCACCATCAAAGAGGTATTAAATACAGGAATAGAGGGTATTGCTCAGACCTAGAACCACCCCAAAACACCACCAGCACTAAGCGTGTTGGCTACTCTGGTAGGGGTAGAACATCAGCCAAGTGAACAACCAGACTTAAATACACCTGGCCGGCGGCAGGTGAAAAGTAAAATCACAGGTGAACTGATTAAGAAACAGTATGGAAACCACTTCTCAAGGTGAAAACATACAGGGAGAGCAGACTGGCACTGAGACAATACCACCCTTGAGGTGATAAGTGAAGACACAGCCAGACCACTCACCCTGTGATTGAATTCTCCCCATGCCATTGGAAGATACAGTCCAGCATATTAATGTTGAGGCTGAAACCCTGCTGTAGATAGCGGGTGAAGAAATACAGGCGACCTAGATGACAATGCAACTCAGGCTCACCCCTGCAGTGGGGGAGGGATGAAACAGGCACACTGGTTCACACTTGGAAGTCAACTCCTCCATAGGATGAGTAACAGCTATGCGTGAAATGGGTAACAGCAAGACAGACTCGCATGTGAGATGCTGGTTAGTGAAAAGCTACAGGCAAACTGAGCAAAGAAATCCCCTCTTGTTTTGGCTGGGGGTGACAAACCAACAGGCGAACCGGGGTAACTACAGGATTCAGACTCCCTGCAGCCATGGTGGGTGAAAGAACAGGTGAGGTGGTTGAACAGCCAGACAAAATCCTCCTCCTTGGCAACAGTGAAGCAGCTGAACATGGTCATCTCATGAGTATGCTAGGTGAAAAAGCTACAGGTGAACCGGTTAGTGATGCAACTCCCATCAGGAGAGGAAGAATAAATACAGGCAAGCAACGGATCCAAAAACTACAGGTCAACTGGATAACAATGAGACTAATACCCCCCTCTTTAGGGCAGCAACAATTACAGGTGAGACTGCCCCTCAAATCCACGGTGAAATACATGGGAGGATCCTGTTCAATACCATGACGATGGTGCTAACCACCGACAGAACCAGATCACAACATGACTTGTTTTTTTCCCCACACCAGTGCTGCATAGAGGCGGAAGAAGGATCAAACACCGTAACTGAAGTCCTCCTCCCACTGGTGACAGGTACAGGCAGAATCCATTCATACCACATCTCTAATTCGCTCTTACATTGGTGGAGGAAATCAAACTACAGGCAGCCCTGGTGAATGACAGGAGCTATCCCCTCCACGTGGGCAGTGGGTGAAAGTTACAGGCAACTGGTGACCAAACAGTACTCGGATCCCTCCTTCGCAGTGATGGCGAGTGAGAAGACAGGCGGAGCAGACGAGACCACAAACTGAGTCCTCCCCGCGATGGTGTTGGATACTGGCAGACAGTTCAATCATATGCTCCGAAGGGCCTCCCCAGTGATGAGAACAATCTGGGGGGCCCAGAGTTGGCCATTTGGGGGGAGAACAGGCAGAAGGGGCTTGACTGTAATCGCCAGGGGTCACTTGAGCAAGGAGGGGCCGTGTCCCTGGAGGGGAAAGAAGGTGCAGTGAGAGTCGTTCTCGGCAGGACCCCCCACCTCCTCGTCCCGCCCCACTCACCTCACGCTGAGCCGAGGGCCCCGCTGATCCGGGCGCTGGCGTCGGGGGGCAGGGCCAGCAGGGCCGCCTGGAACTCCGTGGGGCAGTGGGCAGAGAGATGCCGCAGCAGGGAGAGAAGGGAGACCTGGGCATCTGGGGGGAGCCAGGGGGTTAGATGGGAGAGACACCCTCAAGATCCCGCACCCCAAGGCAGGGGAAGGTGAGGGGGAAGGGACACCCCCTCTTGCTCAATGGCGGGATCCCCAGCCCCCTTCCCTTTTGGACACCCCCCAACTTACCTGCTGGAAGATGGTCGGTCCCCAAGACAGTGCTACTGGCCCGCACCACCTCCCCCACCTGCTGCAGCACCTGGGGGGGACAGGACAGCGGTGAGACCCCAATATCCCACCCGATACCCTCATCCTGTCACCCACTGGAGGACCCCCCCCCCCATCACCCCCCCACCTGAAGGGGAGACACCTCTCTGCACAGTGTTCTGCCCCCATTGCAGTTCACACCCCCAAACCCCCTTAGTCACAGGGATTTAACCCTCCCAAACCCCCAGATAAGAGCCCCCAAAAGACCCCTTGCTCCTGGAACAGGGACCCCCACAGCCCACCCAAATGCCCTCCCCAGATCAGTCCCCATCAACCACTGGAACAGGAGCCCCCCAGCCTGCCTCCCGGCCCCCCATGGGGCGGTACCTGCTGGGGGGCGTTCTCATACAGGAAACTGATGCAGCGGAAAACGGTTTTATTCTCCTCAAAATCCTCCGTGAGGGGCAGGGAGCGGAGCAGGGCGGGGAACACCTGGGGGGAGACTGCGTTAGACAGACCCCCCGCTAGCCCCCCGGCCAGCTGGGGCCAGCCCCCCAGAGGGACAAGGCCCCGCCCCCCGCCAGCCAGAGCCCCCTAGAGAGGAAAGGCCCCGCCCCCCACCAGCCGGTGTCCCCTAGAGGGGCAAGGCTCCACGCCCCATTCCCTGCCTCATGGGGAAAGCCCCACATCGTGCCACCTCACCTGGCTGAGGGGCAGGGCCTGGGGCTGGCTCAGGACCATGCGGGCGACGGCCCCACAGACGTTGTCCCGGACGCGGGCGCTCGGCTCCTGGGCGCTGCCCCCCGCCAGCAAGGCCAGGATCTTAGGGTAGTGTCTGGGGGGGTGGGGGTTAAGGAAAAGGGGAGCAGCAAGGGACCCTCCCTCCAACCACTCCACAGCCTCTCACCCCCATGTACCCCTGGCCTCCCCACAGCAGAGACCCCCCCAGGTCAGACCCCCCCCTTCAGACGATACCCCCCTCCCTGCCCCCCCCAACTCCCTCTTGGCCCCCAACCCATCCACCTAGATGACCCCTAGTAACCTGCATAACCCCCATGCAGCCCCCGCCATGGGTCAGGCAGCCCCCCACATCCCGCAGCCCCTGCCGTAGGTCAGGATACGGGAGCAGGGCCTCCCCGCCGTGCTCGGCCAGCACCCCCAGCGCAAAGACGCCGTTGCTGCGCACTTCGGGGTCAGAGTCCCGGGCGGCCCCCAGGAAGGGGGGAAGGAGCCGGGGCACAAAGGGGGCTGTGGCCCGACCCAGCCCCCCCCAGCGTCTCCGCCAGCGTCCCCACAGCGAAGGAGCGCTCCGCCACCGAGCAGCTGGGCTTCTAGGGGGAGAACGAGGGGGCCCGGATGCCTGGGTTCAGCAGGGGGAGCCCACAGCCACCTGGGTTCAGTGGAGCGGAGGAAACCTGCCTGGACCCCTAGATCCCTGGGGGTGGGTGGAGGGGAGGGGCGATTGTGCCTGGACACCTGGGTCCCCGGGGATGGTGGGGCAATGGGAGAAGGGGGAACCGGCCCGGACGCCTGGGTCCCCTGAAGAGGGGAAGAGAAGGGGAAACCGGCCCAGATGCCTGGGTCCCCGGGGGTGGTGGGGCAATGGGAGCAGGGGGAACCCGCCCGGATGCCTGGGTCCCCGGGGGGAGGGGGGTTGGTAGACACACACTCACCATTTTGTTGAGCAGCAGGGGCAGGAAGCCGGCGAAATACGGGGCGAAGGCGTCGCCCCCTGCGGCCATGGCCAGAGCGGGGATCCCCTCCCCCGCGTACTCCAGCAGCATGGCGTCGTACTCCGCCTGGGGGGAGCGGGGGTGAGCCCAGCTGCACCCCACAGGCCCTGCCCCCCCAAAGCCCTCCGCCCTGCAATCCCATGGCCCCCCAGAAGCCCCAACAACCCCTCTGACTCCATCCCAAAATCCTCTGGCCCCCTAAATCCCCCATCATCCCCCAGCCCCCACCCTGCACCCCCCATGGCCCCTCAGAACCCCCTCCAATCCCCAAATCCCCTGCCCTGACCCCTAAATCCCCCACCCCCCCAGCGCCCACCCTGCACCCCCCCAGAATCCCTGACTACCCCTCCGATCCCCAGTTCCCAAATCCCCTGCCCTGCAGCCCCCACCTACCAGCAACCCCCCAGACTCCCCATTTCTTCCTCCCCTCCCCCCCCAATCTCCAGCCCCTCTGCTCCATGCAGCCCCACATAGCCCCCAACCAGGTCACCTGCTCTTCATCCTCCTCATCTTCCTCGTCCAAGCCGTCGTCCTGGCAAGCCGTCTGGGGGGGATGGGGGGAGAGAAGAGAGCTCAGTACTGGGACCCCCAAACTCCCCTTTCCGTGTCCCGCCTCCCCCAAACCAGCCGGGCTTTCCCTGACCCCCATGTCCTAGCCCCCCACCCCGAAACAACTGGTCCCCCCCGCTCCCCATGTTCCAGCCCCCCAGCCAGCCGGTCCTCCCCCCTGAGCCCTTTACGTTCCACCCCCCTCCCAGAGGGGAAAGGCTCCGTGTCCCCCCCCCCGGCCAGTACCTTCCTCTCCAGCACGGCGCGAAGGGCCCCGCAGAGCTCGGCCAGGCGCCCCGGGTTCCGTAGCGCCTCCTGCCGGCAGGCGGTGAGCACCGCGCCCAACGCCTCCAGCACCGCCATGGCCACCAGCCGCTCCCGCTCCCGGTGCACGCCCCGCGCCATGGCCGGCAGCGCCAGGCCCAGCAGCCGCTGCAGCGCTGGGGGGGGGGGGGGGACGGACACACACGACACCGGGATCAATGCAGGGCTGCGAGCTTCCCCCACAGTGTCCCGTGAGCTCCCCCACCCTGCACGCTTCCCACCCCTGCCCTGGGGCTGTGAGCTTCCCCCACGGTGCCTCACAAGCTCCCCCCGCCCTGC